TCAAGCTTGGGAATTTATAAAATTATTTGAAGGATAAGATCAGTTTGTAAACCATGTTTCTTCATTGTTATTCCTACCAGCTCCTGGGAGGATGATAGCTAAATAACATGATTTGTGGAAGAAAGATCAGTCGAGGGAAAGTGCCGTTCTCTTCACTTGTTGCACTGCTGAGTTTGCTATTTATCAAGGATAACATTGTGCTTCTACACAATTTATACATTGTGCATTAGATCTTCTGTAACATCCAAGCTTCATTCATGCAGGGAAGAGAATGAGAAGTGTTATTTAATAATTGTACTTCATATTTGTCTTCTAGCTGATTTCCAGCATTTCTTAAACCTTGCATATTGCAATCAACACATAAATTTTAATCTACCTAAATAAAAATAGAATAGAATAGAATAGAATAGAATAGAATAGAATACTTTATTGGCCAAGTGTGACTGGACACACAAGAAATTTGTCTTGGTGGAAATACTCTCAGTATACATAAAATAAAAGATACATTAATTAAGAATCAAGAATCATAAGGTACAACACTTAATGATAGTCATGGGTACAATCAGCAATCAAATCATGCTAGGAAACAGTCAATATAAATTGTAAGGATACAAGAGACAATCCTACAATCACAAGTGGGAGCAGATGGGTGATAAGGAGTGATGAGAAGATTAACAGTAATAGTATTGCAGTCTTTGTAATAGTTGAACAGTGTTGAGGGAATTATTTGTTTAGCAGAATGATGGCTTTCAGGAAAAAACTGTTCTTGTGTCTAGTTGTTCTGGAGTGCAGTGCTCTATAGCATCATTTTGAGGGAAGGAGCTGAAACAGTTTATGTCTGGGATGTGAGGGGTCTATAAATATTTTCACAGCCCTCTTTTTGACTCGTGCAGTATACAGGTCCTCAATTGAAGGCAGATGGGTGGTAATTGTTTTTTCTGCAGTCCTAATTATCTTCTGAAGTCTGTGTCTGTCCTGTTGGGTTGCAGAACCAAACCAGACAGTTATAGAGGTGCAGATGATAGACTCAATAATTCCTCTGTAGAACTGGATCAGCAGCTCCTTGGGCAGTTTGAGCTTTCTGAGTTGGTGCAGAAAGAACATTCTTTGTTGTGCTTTTTTTATGACTTTTTGATGTTAGGTGTCCATTTTAGGTCATGTGATATAGTAGAACCTAGAAATTTGAAGGTCTCTACTGTTGATACTGTGTTGTCTAGTATTGTAAGAGTGGTAGTATGGGAGGGCTTCTTCTAAAGTCTACCACCATTTCTACAGTTTTGAGTGTGTTCAGTTCCAGATTGTTCCGGTTACACCACGAGGCAAGTTGTATAACCTCCAGTCTGTATGCAGATTTGTCATTGTCTCGAATGAGACCAATCACTGTTGTGTCATCAGCAAACTTCAATATTTTAACAGATTGATTGTTTGAGATGCAGTCATTGGTATATAGGGAGAAGAGAAGTGGAGAAAGCACGCAGCCTTTGCTGATTGTACAGGTATCGGATGTGATTCTGCCTAGCTTCACCTGCTGTTTCCTGTCTGTTAGGAAGCTTACAAGTGTGTTCAGGTACCACTAGTTGGTTTAATTTACTTAGAAGAGTGTCTGGAATGATGGTATTGAATGCTGAACTGAAGTCTACAAAGAGGACCCTTGCGTAGGTATTTGGAGATTCAAGGTGTTGTAGGATGTAATGCAGAGCCATGTTAACAGCATCATCTGTCGATCTATTTGCTCGGTATGCAAACTGCATGGGATCTAACAGCAGATCCGTAATGGTTTTCAGGTGGGACAACACAAGCCTTTCAAAGATTTTCATAACTACAGATGTTGGAGCAACTGGCCTGTAGTCATTCAGTTTCTTGATGGAGGGCTTCTTTGGCACTGGGATGATGGTAGAGTATTTGAAGCAGGAAGGAACATAGCACATCTCTAGTGATCTATTGAAGATTCAGGTGAAGATGGGGGCCAATTGGTCAGCACAGACTTTTAACCAAGTAGGAGTTATCTTGTCTGGCCCTGGTGCTTTTCCTGGCTTCTGTCTGTGTAATAGATCTTGCACTTCTTTTTCTGTGATCACCAGAGGTTGTGAACCCAATGAGTTGGGGCCAGTTGTAGGAGGTTTGGCTGTTGTTGGTGTGTTTGAGATGTGGTTTGTGGAGATAGGTGACCTTCATTGAAAAGCTAACAAGCTTACATTGGTATTTGGCTGTAATCTAAAGATGTTTAGATTAAAAGTGCCTTTCTATATTTTATTTAGGAAAGGGTGTGTAAATCTATTCAGTTTATTTTAATAAACAATGAGGTAACATACTTCTTTAGATGAATATACTGTAGACAGATCTCTGTCAGATGTGGCAGGTTTTGGCTTTATTAAGTTGGACATGATTTCAGTGACAACAGAAGTCTAAATAATTTATCAAATGACTCAAAGCTTAGAAACATTTGAACCACTCGTGGAAGTGGAGCAACAGATGGAGCCACACATTTATTGTATTCCAAAACTAGATCCAACAGGAAATAATTTTGAAAATCCCAGGATTAGTGATTAATAATTTTAATGATTAAAATAGCTTTATCATCCTTGGTTCCTTCTTTGTTACTCTGACTAGTTTAGAGAAGTGCTTTGTTTTGTATTAAGAGACATGGTGGCTCAGTGGTTAGAATGCAGTACTGCAGGCTACTTCTGTTGACTGCCGGCTGCCTGAAGTTTGGCAATTCGATTCTCACCAGCTCAAGGTTCACTCAGCCTTCCATCCTTTCGAGGTCGGTGAAATGAGGACTCAGATTGTTGGGGGCAATAGGCTGACTATGTAAACTGCTTAAAGAGGGCTGCAAAGCACTGTGAAGCGGTATAAATTCTATTGCTATTTCAAAGTAAATAGGTTGATTAATTTTTAGCTGATAGTAAATTTTGGTAGGTTGATATGCAACCAATATCTCATTTCTAATAATGCCACATAGTTCCACAAATATTTCATATCAAGCAATTCCTATAAAGAAATTAAAGGAAAGAACTTGACGTGACAGATCTAGCATGTGCAAGTGATGTTGTTACCTAACATTTAGGATGTTATCTAGTTTGGGTAATGAAACATTTGCAAGAAAACAACCAAGTTCAGAGAGGATCCTTCACTTCAACTCTGAGCTACAAATATTCTCCTTTATTAGAACTTGATGTTGATCTAAATTTGGATTTTTTTTTCTTCCCTATACCAATACCTTGAAGAAATTTCATTTGCAATTTCACTGAAAAGGTAGAGTTGTCTAAAATTGCTCATTAATACCTGAAATGTAATCATAATGCCATAAAGCTGCAAACCTTTAGATGATATGATTTAAATAGCTTTCAAAATTCGGAACCTTAAAAGAAGGAAATCTGCTTTTTCTCTAAGTTTGTCAATAGCACACAAGGAGTTTTATGGGAATTTTTTTCCTCTTGCAAATAAAGTTTGTTTAAATCTTTAATTTGACAAATGTAGAAACCATACCCGGTGTGTGATTCTTTCCAGTTTGAGATTGATGTGGATCACATGTGAGCTATTTAGGTGTCTAATGCAGGTAGTCCTTTACTTACAACAGTTCATTTAGTGACCATGCAAAGTTACAATGGCACTGGAAAAAGTGACTTATGATGATTTTTCATTTATGACTTTTGCAGCATCCAAGGTTGACTCAGCCTTCCTCAAGACTGACTCAGCCTTCCTCAAGACTGACTCAGCCTTCTGTCCTTCCGAAGTCAGTGAAATGAGGACCCAGATTGTTGGGGGCAATAGGCTGACTCTGTAAACTGCTTAGAAAGAGCTGTAAAACACTGTGAAGCGGTATAAAAGTTTAAGTGCTATTACTATCCCCATAATCACATGATCAAAATTCAGATACTTGGCAATTTATGACTGTTGCTGTGTCTCAAGGTCATGTAATCAACTTTTGTAATTTTCGGACAAGTCAAGTCAATGGGGAAATCGGATTCACTCAACAACTGTTACTAACGTATCAACAGCAGTTATTCACTTAACAACTGTGGCAAGAAAGGTTGTAAAATGGGACAAAATTCACTTAACAAATGTCTCACTTAACAAGAGAAATCTGGGGCTCTATTGTGGTCATTAAGTTGAGGACTACCTGTATTTGTAAATATTCAGCTGAATTCATTATGTTTGCAAGTAAGTTGGCTGCCTTTGTATTACAAAAGTTTTTATTACAGACTTTATTACAGATATGATTTGATTTTAGGGATTACAAGAGGCACTGCCTTCTTCCTGGTGTTCAGCATGACAACTAAGGCTTTGGCCCCAATTTTGAGGAGGAGCAGGAAAAGTCATAACTAATTTCCCCAAATCCGTTCTTCCAGATTTGAAGTGCCAGAAGGCTGTAGTGGCGCTTATTCCTTGAGAAAGAAGCTGCTGAATTTTACAAAAGCCATTTGTTGCAATTCTGTAAATGTCATGGTCTTGTATTTTGGTGCCTGCACTTGATGCTACACTGAGAAGCAACACTGGCCACTGTCTCTCTGAGAAGTGCTGGAAGAAAGCAGTGATATTTTTGACTTAGTTGCAGAGAACTTTCCAAAACACCCTTAGCAATTCTTGACTGGAAAAGATGTTGCAATATTTACAACAGGGTGGTAGGATGTATCCTTTCCTCTTGTACTAATGGAACACAGAGTTTTACTTGGATCCTGATAGGTTTTCTCACTTACACATGCCTTCAAGTTCTGAATATAAAATCTTAAGGTAGAATGGCCAGAAGAATGTAAATTTGGGGGTGTGTATGTATGTATATATATGAATAGATATTGAATTATAAAATTATTCAAAAGCCAAGGCTTGGTCTTTAATGCTATGGCTCATTTCAAACATTCCTTTTAATGAATTCCACGTACAGCAATTTCCTAGAGGTATGAACACCCCAAATCTCCTCTCTAAATATAGGGAAGTTTGTAACAGGTTCAATTGGAGACATCAAAAACATTTTAAATAGACACCACAAGATGCATGAGTAGTTTAAAGGTCAAATTTATTAGGAGATTAAGAGATGTATTATACATGGACTATAAATACAGCACAGCTGACTTTATTCACAGTCAGATGCAGAGACAACCAATGCCAACCTATTTTGTGGACACCCTTGTTCTTTTGTTCCAAGAAAAGTTTGCGCCATAAGACTTGGATTTAGGTTTTGGAATCCTCTGCTCTTGAACATCATAGCTCCAGCCTAGGAAAAAACATGTTGAGAATTCTAAACAACACACATATAGCTGATAATACTGAGCAAGTGCAACACAAACAAAAGCAAGTTCAAGCTTTTAAGAGCTAACAGAGAAGAAATACCAACATATTTGATATACAATATGCAATTACTAGTTTATTCTATTGCAAAAGGCAGTGAACAATAATCCTTTAAGACAGATATGTCTTAAATGTGACCTACACCTGTTCCCAGGTTTGTCAGATCTCAGGCACTGTATGTTCCAACTTTCACCACTCCTGTTGATGGACCAGGACTGACAGTTGACACATGAAGGTCTGTAATCTTATGCATTCACACCTCTCTATCAGATGTCAAGCCAAGTTTTGGAAATATGCCTGGTAGCAGAGTACCCCAATGCCACAAGGAAGCAAGAAGGACAAAGAGGTGAGCTTTGGAGAATTTAGAATGTGATCCTGAATTCAGAATCAGCTGCTTCACATAACAGGAATCTTGCTAATTTTTCCATAGCTTCACATTTAAAACAAATGAAATTGCCTGATATAATAATTTTTAAAGAGTTGTTTTCCAGCTATAAACCTTATTCCGATTATATTTCTTTGTCACATTCAGAAAATGGATTTGCATGATGATAACCATACAGAGGCAGAAAGGAATGGGCAGTCTGAGACAGAGACATGGGATCAAGGAAGGATAAATGTGATTAATAGACTATTCACATCCCAGTAAAAGTATAATACTGACACTCTGCATTCGTTTCTGAGAAAGCCACCTTTCTCAGGGAATGGGAATGAGAGAGGATATGATATCAATCTTTTTTTTTATTTTATTCTCTTTTATATGCAAGACATAACCTAGAGAAACTTCACAGTTTCAGACCTATATTTTTTTGAGGAACAGCTAACTCCTTTCTATGAAAAACAAACAAAAACAGTCTTGAGTCAGAAGAAAGTATTTCAGAATATATCAACATGGCAACTGTTTAATATGATTATTAATTGTATGCATAAAATATCTCCTACTTGGATCTCTTTAAATCTTTTGGCCTATATACTGTCAACATTATGTGTTATTAGGAATAATTTAAAGAAAATTTGTTCTGAAGTAAATATATATTAAACAAGAAGGCAAACCTAGGTTAGGCGCCTAGGGATAATTTCAACTTTTGACTCTAATTCAGGAATGAAACTGAATTTAATAACTGCATGTTTGCAGAGTGTTAGTAACAAGCACATAAAGAATCACAGGGTTTGGCATCATTTGATCTGCCTGAGAATCTCTGCACTCATGGGGCCTAATCATGGAATAAGTGAGACTTGTAAACCTAGATAAAGATGCCCTGGCACAGGCAGATGGTAAAACATCTCTCACTTGCATTCACTGGAATTAGGCCAATGTTCTTAGTTCTCACTTTAGCAAACTGATTTTCTTGTCAAATATTTGTAGGAAATGAGATAAAGTAAAATGTAGAGATTTAGTTTAACACCAACATTTATGGGATATGAATGCTTTATAAGAAGTACTCCCTAAAAGTTCTCAGTCTATTTAAGATGTCAGGCGTAACATATTCAATATGTTTTAGTTAAGAGAATTGCTAAATCAACATTTTGGGTCCTGCAAAATGAAGGCAGATGACCCCCAGTTTAGATTTTGATCCAATGGCTGATCTTCTCACTAAAAGCAACAATATTAATTACAAATATTCATTATGCACAGATCAAATTACTTATTAAGTATCTGTTTCTTGGTGCTGGTTTTAATCTCTAAAGCCAAAATGGCTTTCTACCTGCAGGGCCATTTAGTACCAATGAATCCTACCATACCCAGACACACCCCTTCCCCATGAACTCATTAGGGATACTAAGGCTCCTCCCTCCAAAGATGTCGGGACAGTAAGAAATGTGTTTCTCAATACTAGTACTATGGCACAGCCATCCTGCCTATCTTGGTAAAATTGTGTCATAATTTGATGAAGACAATGTTGGATACAAAACCCCCATGATACCAAGCACCACAGCTTGGTATCAATAAAGGTAAAGATTTCCCTTTTCCAGTTGTGTCTAATTTTATGGGGTGCTCATCTCCATTTCTTAAGTGTTTTTCCAGACATTTCTATGATCATGTGGACAGCATGACTATACACCAAGGGGGAACAGAACACTGTTACCTCCCACTGAAGTGATACTGATTTATCTACTCACATTTGAAAGCATTTGTATGCTTTCAAACTGCTAAGTGTACAGGAGTTGGGCAAGTAATGGGAGCTCACCCTGTCATGTGGCATTCAGGTTCAAACCTGGGCTGTCAGCTTTCCAGATGACAAGCTCAGCATTTTTAACCGCTGAACCACCGCACCCTCTTTTGGTATCAATATCCCAGGATAAATCATATACAAGTGAAAAATCTGCCTAGGATGTTTGCAAGGTAAGACTCCAATCACTCTTTGCCAAGTTAGCCAACCAGAGTAAGGATGGCTGAGAAAACGGGAGTGACATGGGTCTAGGAAGGGACACCTGAATAATTTTTACTATTGATGAGGTTCAATATTTTTTATTATTAACGATATCTAGTTTTCATCCAAATTTCAATTTCAAACAATATAAGATAATGTTAATATTTGAATGTTCTATAGCAGTTCCTGTTGTGCATCACTATTTATACTAGTACTGCTACCCACTCAACAGAACACATCTGCCAAGATGAAATTTCAGTCCCATGCCACTGTCACTTTTTTCTGCTAGTAGCTCAAACTCCCCCTCTCATTCAATAAGCATGCACTCATCGATTGTACTCTGATTGCTGCTGTACATACCATTTTTTTCAGCAAATGCAATAGCATCTTCTTTTGTAGAGAAAGTTAGTTGCATATTGGACAGAGGATCCGCTCTGTAATAAAACATTATGGAAATTACATAATTACATAATGGAAATTGCAGGTAAAACATTTAAAAGTTGCACTATGATTTCAGAAAAACTATTAAGATCCATCTGTTTCTTCTAGTGCCAAAGTGGCACAGTCATGGCTCTGGCCTAAAGGAAATCCTCTTCCTATAAATTATCTTTGTATCTCTGAGAGAAAAGGCACACAAAGTTTCAACAGTCGCAAAGGTGCTTCTCTAAAAGACAACTGGACCAAAGATTCAAGACCTGAAGAAGCTTCTTGGATGAGAAGTGAAACATTTTCAAGGAAAAATAAACAAGAAAGTCCAACTGCCTTTCGAAAAAGCACTTTGGGTACAACCATGACCTGGATGACTGAGAATCTCCATAGAAAGTTTCAACAGAGATTCTTAATGGCAGACACAATAGTAAGATGCCACGTAGGGCTTTAATGAACACTCTGAATGGAGTTGGGAAATCAATGGGCAAACCCTCTGCTTCTGAAACTGAGTGGTAAAATTCACCAGTAAAATTCTAACAACCATATTCTATACTCTTTGAAGCCTCACAATATATTGCAATAATGCTGATGGATAGTTCTTAAACATCTCAATATCTAGATCAGGTAAGTCAAACTCATGGCCTATATGTCAGATGCATCACGTGCTGGCCACGCCCACCCCTGGTTTAGCGAAGGGGGGAAAAGTCGCGATAAATCACATGACAACAATGTGACGCCACGAGCTTGACACCCCTGATCTAGACCATTACGAAATAGCAAAAATGGGTAAAAGTATTTGGGTCTGTAATAACAGTACTAATGCTGACATACTGGGATCTTGAGGACAATCCTGTCCAGAATAGAAGTATTATCAACTCCACAAATACAAAAACTGTTAGCTCACAGCACTGTCATCTTCTTAGAGTTCAGCTTCTGTTTATTTGCTACCATCTAGCTCATTGTCTAATCAGCAAGCTTCACGGCCTCACCTGACTCATAAGGCAAGGGGAAAGTGTCATCATATGCTGATCACATTTAACTCCAAATCCCTGGATGACCACATCCAGTAGTTTCGGAGAGTTGCTAAAGAAAAACAACAGATGGTACAGAATAGAATGGAAGCTTGTGGGCACAATACAAGCATGCCTCAGCCCTGGCTGGAAATCCCACAGATTTTTAAAACACAGATCTGGCTAGAACAACCACACAACCTTGCATGCATTCTTTTATCTATTTAAATTTAAATCATATTCTCTATCCAAGAATTGAGACAAATTGCTGGTGCCTGCTTCTAATTCTGAAGTTTCACTACATCTTATGGTGGGTTAGAAATGCAATTTATTACGCCAGAAAAAAAAAGAAACAAAAATAATCTAATTTTTCTGTGTGCATTCTGATTTTTGATTTCTAAGGAGGAGGAGGCTGAACCACAAAAGGGCCAAGAATTCTTAGCCTTCCATTTTCTGAGTAAGCCAAACATCCAAACCCACAGTCCAGCCTGAAATGTTAAACATGTGCTTACTTAATTTTTCAGAATATCTCTTTCATGAATAACATCACCACAGTCACTAAAATAGAACTTCTAGTACTACCAAGGGAAGCATGATGAATTCTTAGAATTTATGAGACTAAATCTGTTACAGCAGCTCTGAAATTATATAAAATGTGTCTCAAGGTCATAAAAGTGTGCAATTGCTTCCTCGCAAAAAGTCCTTTCAATCTGCAACTAAATCTTCATAAAATCTGCAGTACTTTCTTCAGTGATGGAGAACTAACTTTCTGACTTTAGAAAGCAAGGAGATAGGTGACAGACAAAGACAGATTCTAAACCGAACAGTGTCTTTCATTGAGCCTTTGATATAAAATTTAATGAATTATTAAAGCACTATGGAGATACTATCACATGGTATTATGCAACAAAAATGCATCCACTCTCACAATGAGGTAATTTTGAGCTAGGAATCTAGGCAGTTATAATACAAGTGGGAAAGTTTTGTTTTTTACCGATGTCCAAAATCCCTTTCCGCTGCACTAAGAGAAATCAAGATTGATTTGTTTTCTTAAGGAAGACACAAATCTACCTAATAGAGGAAAATAAGGTAAACCAAGAATGTTCCCAAAGAATTTGCTTCAGCCAGTATCTAAAGTGACATAGTCCCCAAAGAAGAGGCAGCCTAATTCTAAAAGTAAAAGAGTCAAGGAACCTGGGCAATTACTTTAAGAACCTAGCTCAAATATTAGCTAAGCTGGAAGCATCCCTACAGATACATATCGGCTTGTCACATCTGTTTGCAACTTTTAGCAATGCTTTCACTGGAATGCATTCTCTATCTGACTGAATTTATAAGATGAGGGGGGTTTATCATGTTTATCCAGTCTACAGATAAACCAAAAATTTGCTGGAGTATAAGGATTGTTTCACAGACATTGCTTTGTCAAATGCAAATCAGATCCTGCAAATTACCACACAATCAGTGCTTTATCTATAATTAGTAAATTATTATCTTTCATTGTAATTTATTTAATTGTTGTGAATTGCCCAGTTTCTGGGCTAAGATTCATTAGGCTATAGTAAATAAAGATGACTGTTTTGGCCTCTCATTTCTTTATCAGTAAAATTTAATCTAGCTTTTTTTTTCCGTTCTGAAGCATTTTCTCATAGGTGCAGAGTCTGCTTTTTCAAATCAACTGAGTGTTGATCAATTGATTGGACAGGAACTGACGCACCAGGTTGTGGCTGGAGCCTGATGTAATGGGCTGAGAGAGAGAGGGCGCTGGTACTTACCTGATACACCCGTTCTCTTTGAGCTGTGAAGAACATCCAGTAGTGGGAGGTGCTTCAGTCTCTGCATGTCTAGGCTGGGCTTAATTTGTGGAACGCTCCTCCTCCTCCACGGTACTCCTCCCCAGCATTCCCCAGTTTTGGAGAAGACGAGAGAAAAAACTGCCCTTGTTCTCAATGCCCTAACAACTCGTTGGCCAAAAAAGGACCCCACCAGACAGAAAAAAGGGTGGGGCTGGATGCTCTTCACAGCTCAAAGAGAACGGGCGTGTCAGGTAAGTACCAACGCCCTTTCTCCCATGAGCTGTTCAGAGCATCCAGTAGTGGGACATACCAAAGCTTGGCCTGTCCTAGAGGAGGGACTCCATCTGGCCTGGAATCTCCTCCTGGTCCCTGTGGACCCGTTGCAGAACTCTTCTGCCAAAGGAGGCCTCAGCGGATGCAAACACATCTATTTTATAATGCCTAATGAATGGCGATGGAGAGGCCCAGATTGTGGCTATTGGTGCCTGTGTGGCCCACGCTGCTGATGTTGCGGCGCTCCTTGTTGAATGAGCTGTTATGCCCCTGTGCACCTGTAGGGATTGAGTCTGATACGTTTTCGCTATCGCGGCCCATAGCCAACGGCCTATTGTAGAAAGTGAGACCTTGCATCCCTGAGTGTTGGGCTGAAAAGACACAAATAAGGCTTCCGTTTTTCTGAAAGCCGCTGTGCAGTTGATATATATTTGCAATGCTCGCCTCACATCAAGACTATGCCATTGTAGTTCCAACCCTTGGGATGGTCTGGGACAAAAATTAGGAAGTATCAGCTCTTGTGCCCTATAAAAAACTGAGTTAATTTGGGGTATAAATGTAGGATCAGGACGAAGAACCACCCGGTCAGAATGGAAAACACAAAGATCTTGTCTGATAGACAAAGCTGCAATCTCTGAAATACGACGAGCAGAAGTGATTGCTACAAGGAAAACTACTTTATACGTCAGAAATTGGAGACTTGACAATTTCAAGGGTTCGAAAGGGCCCTTAGTGAGTGCGACGAGGACCTTGTTAAGGTCCCAGGTGGGATAACAGTGTACCTGGAGGCCGTAAATTTGTGGCTCCTTGAAGGAAACTCCGTATGCATGGATGATGGGAAAGAGATAGTAGACCTTCACAAGTGAGAACTGACGCCAAGGCCGCCACCTGTCTTTTCAACGTATTAGGTGATAATCCCTTGTCAAGTCCCTCTTGCAAGAACTCTAGGATTTGAGTCACAGATGGAGAGATGGGATCAATTCGAGACTCGGTACACCATTTGCAGAAACTGGACCATGTGGCATTGTAAATGCGAGTTGTTGAGGAGCGTCTGGCGGCTTGGATGGTGGCAAAAACTCTGTTGGAAAACTTTTCGCTCTTCAGACAACTCCGCTCAACCTCCAGATGGTCAGGTGCAACCATTGAGGGTCTGGATGTTGAAGGGGTTAGTGAGACCTTGGCTGGCAGAATTCTCCATGGTGTTGATACGGATAGACTGCGAAGGTCTGCAAACCATGGCCGTCTGGGCCAGTAAGGAGCTACTAGAAGTAGTTCCGCCCTCTCGTCTAGCAGTTTCTGCATGACCTTGGGAACCAGTGGAAGTGGCGGGAATGCATACAGAAGTCCCGGGGGCCAACGACAGCAGAGTGAATTGAAGTTCTCCACTCCTTGCGAGGGGTACCTGGAAAAAAATCTCAGGAGCTGAGCGTTGAGGGGGGAAGCGAACAGGTCCACCATCAGCTGTCCAAATGTCCTGACCGCCTTTTGAAACAGGGTCAGATGGAGGTGCCACTCTGATTGATCGATCATGGCCCTGCTCAGCCAGTCTGCCTATGTATTCGACAGACCCGAAATGTGCTCTGCTCTGATGGAAAGTAGGTTGCTCTCTGCCCAACGACACAAGTGCTCCGCTTCTCGCATGAGATGTTTCGACTGTGTGCCCCCGTTTGTTTATGTGAGCTTTGGCTGTTATGTTGTCAGTCAATATTAGTATGTGCTGATTGCGTACCTGTGGAAGGAAGCTGCGGAGAGCCAGGTGTACTGCTCAAAGCTCCAGCCAGTTTATGGTGCACGACTGTTCTATGGCGGACCAGCGGTCTTGGGTTGTGAGCGATTGAACGTGTGCTCCCCATCCAAACAGGCTGGCATCGGTGGTGATGGTAAGTCTGTGTGGCTCTTTGAAGAGGTAGCCTCTGTTGATGACTGGTCTGGTCCACCAGAGGAGAGATATGAGGACCTTTGATGGTACCCTGACCTTGTATTTGGAGTTGCTTCAGCCGGAGCACTGGTACGGGAGCAGGAACCACTGGAGGGATCTAGTGTGGAGCCGGGCCCAAGGGATGATAGAAATACATGAGATCATCTTGCCTAACAATTTTGATAGTTCCTCTAGGGACACCCTCTTAAGACCCCCGATCTCCTTGATTAATTGCTGAATGCTATTTAGTCTATCTGGTGACAGGTAAACTTTGCCTTCCACCGTATCCATGACTGCCCCCAGATGGGTTAACCGAGTCGATGGTGTTAAATGACTCTTTTTCCAATTTATTGAGAACCCGTGTTGTTGTAGGGATTGTAATGTGTTCTGAGTATCTTTGACTGCTTGATGAGCGGAAGATGACAAAATCAAGATGTCATCAAGATAACACTGGAGTCGTATGGGGATATCACGGAGATGAGCAGCTAGCACTGTGAGAACCTTCAGGAAGGTCCTTGGGGCAGAAGCTAGTCCAAAAGGAAGGTCCACATATTCAAAATGGTGGTTATTATAACAGAATCTCAGAAATTTATAGTGGGAAGGCCAAATAGCAATATGTAGGTACGTCTCTGTCAGGTCTATGGATGTGAGGACGTCACCCTTTCTGATGCCAAGTAAGATAGATTGCAGGGTGTGCATTTTAAACTTGCGATATACTAAGAAACAGTTGAGATGTTTCAGATCCAATATTGCTCTCCACCCCCCTGAACTTTTGGGAACAACAAAAAGATGTGAATAGAAACCTCACCCTCATTGGTTGGTGGCTACTGGCTGGACGGCTCATATGTCCAGTAGGTGTTGGATAGCTGTTTCCATGAGATTACGTTTAACTGGATCTCTGGAGAGAGGGCATGACATGAAAAATCCGGGGGAGTGGATTGAAACGCCAGCACAAGTCCAAATCTAATCATGTCTCTGACCCAGGAATCGGAGGTTGAGGAGTCCCATTGGTCCGCAAATAATTTAAGGTGTCCGCCAATGGGGGTCGGGTCCAGGGAGTTATCTTGGACACTGAAAGGACCTGTTTCCTGTCCCCGAAAGGATCTCTTGGATTGACCACCCCTTCTGCTCCTATTCCCGAAGTCGGACCTGTCTGGCTGCTGCCCTGGTCTGAATGATGGGCGTCTCTTGTATCTGGGTGAGGGTTTCTAGAATCTGACTTCCGAAAAATGGAAGGAAGAATTTTCTTTTTGTTTCGGGTTTCAATTAGTAGCGGAACAAGGGAAGGGCCAAACAGTCCGTCTCCCACAATTGGGGATGAAGCCAGCTTGCATTTATGCTTAAAGTTCGCTTGCCAATGTTTTAACCATAGTAAGCGTCACGCTGTGACATGTGAAGTGATGGCCCTGGCTGAAAACTTGACTGCATACGTTGCGACAGCTGAGAATTCAGCAGCTGCTATAAGATTAGCAATATCTTGGTGCGCTCTAAGGTTGGAATTAGGGACATGTTCCCGTAAGAGGCGGAGCCGTCTGAGAGAAGAACGGGTGAAGGAGGCAGCCGTGGCTGCTCTGATGGCCCACGGGTCAGACTGATGGGCTCTGCGTAGGGCTAGCTCGGCCTGTTTTTCCTCCGGCTTTAATGCCTCCAGCGCATCACTGGGAATGAAGGAGGATGCTAATCCCACTATAGGTTCATCTACCTCGGGAGTATTCAATAATTTTTGAGAAATCAGGGGCCAAATTGAAATATTTCCTGTCATATCTAGTGGGGGCTGGGTACACCGCTGCAGAGGCCCACTGTTTCTGTACCAGGTCCGAAAACATGGGAGGAACTGGGATCACCTCTGCTTCGACTACTGGTTGGTTGAAAATTAGATCTTCTGGTCCTTCTTCTGAAGGAGTTGGAGTGGTAGAAGGGGTCGACTTGTTTAGGCATGCAATATTTTTTGCCTTAAACAAGAGAGATCTGAAAAGTTGTGGGCGGAATAAGCCTGTAAAAACAGGTTGGTCAGGAACAAGGCCCTCATCCTCAGACATTCCCTTTCTAAGGGGTCTGCTTTTGACAGGGGCTCGCTGTCATATTGATCCTGATTCAATCTCTTCCATTTGATCAATTTGATCCACTTCTTCCTCCTCCTCCTCAGTCGGCCCTTGGAGGGGGACCTCCCCTTGTAAATGTACCTGGGTATAGTGCTGCTGCGACCTGGTCAATGACCTCAGCAATTGGGAATCATGATCGGTGATCACAGGATATCCCCTGGTCATAACTGCGTGTTGAAGACCTGCTGAGATTCCCTGGCGGATTGCCAGCTCCACCCAGGCCTTCATCTCTCTGGAACTTCCTCTGGAAGAATGTCGTCCTGATGAAGACCGTCAGCCGTCAGAGTGAATGTAGCTTTGGGAGCCCTTCACATGGTCGGTGTCCCAGATACTTGGGCCTGTTGGCCTTGGGGAGCCAAGCTGCGCCTGGATGAGAGGGAGAGATCTAGGGGAGGAGGAGGGTGGGAAGAGGTAGGCGGACCTGGACTGGAGGAGGGGAAGTCCTGTGAGACCTTGTGCGCCTCCCGTGTGCACTTATGTGTTTTTGTAAAGCTTTATGGCGCCTGATGGCATCCCTTTCTGAAATTTTAGAATTCCCTTTAGCCTGCTTAGGTTTGGCTTTGACCTTCAAGAATGAGGTCCAAGAGCTGCTACCATCTGCCATTTCGACTGAAGTTGGAATTGCAGTATGCTTGTTATACAATGCAATATTGTGAAAGCGTTTGGCACGCCCAGGGGCCTGATCTGAGGACAGACCGGTTGCCCTGATGATGTTTTTATTGCCCCCTTTCCTCTTTTTTTTTTTTTGGAATAATACCTATCTATAATGAGTTGTATCTCAGTAATAATATTTTATTAATATTAAAATATTATACCAAAGAGAAAATTATTATTATTGTTGTTGTTGTTATTATTGTATTATTATATGACCACTAATATATATATATATATATGTATATGTATATGTATATGTATATGTATATGTATATGAATATTAATTAAGTGGTACGATGTTACGTGCTGAGAAACCAAACAGCCAAATTGAGAATGCCTAAAGGCCCAGATTGATAAGGGTAGAGGCCTTCAACAGTTTCCCTGCCTAGGCGGACACAGGCCTAGGTGCTCGTTGTTGTGCCGCTGGGTTGATTGGGCTGTGAGGGTTAAGCCAACAATTTAACTGTAAGAATAGCCTCGAATGTAGAAAAAAACCAAGACGAGGGTATAATGGTCCTCAGTGTTCCTGAAGGGAACCTCTGCTCAGAACAGAGTTACCTCACACAGCATGAAATGGAATACAGACGCGCGGCCACAAGGTCTTGTAAGAAAAGATGGCCTCCGGACGTTAATCTTTTGGCGCACTCCCCAGCAGCAAACTCCCGCCATGTGAAGGAATAGCCTCCGATGGCTTTTCCTATAAGGCTAAGCGGCGGGGAAGGGTGGAAGGCACTAAGCATTTGAATCCTCCACCCCAAGTGGTGTTCAGAGGGGGAAGGAAGGCGATATGACCCTGTTGGGAGCAAAGAGCTCATGCTGCTGTTCGGGTAAAAGAAACCTTGTGGCAATCTGTCGGAATGGCAGCGGTAGAAAGATCGGTTGTGGGGAGGGGGCGCAGAGCAGCACCGAAGCCTCCCGCCGCTTTGGGGCGCGAATTGGCACTTCCCTGTAATGCGAGCAATCTCTGTAATGTGAGCCAACATCAAGAGATCGCAATGCGATTAGAAGGCTAAAGGATTCTAAAGACAAGCTGATTAACTTTCAAACATGCTTGCAAGGAAAGAATTTTTCCTATTTCGGCCAAGGAAGAATCACAAGCACTGCCTATCTCTCACAAGGCTGAGCCAAAACTGGGGAATGCTGGGGAGGAGTACCGTGGAGGAGGAGCGTTCCACAAATTAAGCCCAGCCTAGACATGCAGAGACTGAAGCACCTCCCACTACTGGATGCTCTGAACAGCTCATGGGAGAATGACTGGTCCTAAGTTACCCAGATGGCTTTCATGCCTAAAACGGGACTAGAACTCACAGTTTCCTGGTTTCTAGCCTGATGCTTTAATCACTGGACAAAACTGATTCTTACGTAATGGAGCTAATAACAACAATTTGATCTTGTCTGACTCTTAGAATTTTCATGGCCTACTTACTGCAACTCCACATGGTCATTTCTGCATTCGACCACCAGAGACTCTGTTTCTCGAGTGTGAGAATCACTCCAATTTCACACTTAGAAGTTAATTAAAAATTCCTGAATCAAAAAAAAATTATCCCTGGCAAAAACATAATTTTATTAGCACTTTTAAAATCTAACCATGCTTGGTAAATGTCTGTATTAGTTGATCAAATAATAAACTTTGAACATGCTAACTATTTTATACTTACGAAGATGCCCAACCCATCAATGGGTTTTCCCAGCGCTCTCTTGTATCAAATTCCATTTTCCATTTTTTTGTGTTATTAACACCAGCTTGCATGGCATTACGGGCTGGAACAAAAATGTACGCTTTTCTTGTTTTAATATGCTCCTCTGGAACACCAGTTAGAGGGGTAATGTCCTATGAAAACAAGAAAGAAGACATAAACAAGTACATTTTTTAAAATGCCAATGATCTATACTTTGGAGAAAGTCAGTTTTCATTGAGAAAATTCATTCATTGAGAGGAATGAAATACGGCGTTTCCAAATCTGTTCATCATTCATGTATAGGTTAACAAATGTTCAAGAATCTTTTATGCATCTTACATAATCTTTCTGGAATTACAAATTTTCACTAAACAGAAAATATTTAAACCTCAGGCATGCCACGGTACCTTTGCAATGCACTGCTGTAAACATTTCTTTTGTAGTATTTAGGCTAAAACATATAGCTCTGTGTGGCGCCCCAGAAGTCTTAATGAAGCTTAACACCACGCATTTATCTCAGTGCCATGACTAAGCAGTTTTGCAATACACGTAGTCACATTACATGTAGTCCTTGTTCCACCACCTTGTTGTGGCTGTTCACAGTTACAATTGTGATGACTCCAAATTCTATATTTTGCCTTCAAGTTCTACACCATACTTGACTTATATTTTGAATCTACAGCTTTTGGTACCACCCAGTTGAATGAAGAATTCTGGAAAGCAAAAAAGCTTGCAGATTTTTGTGCGATTTTGCTGATTGGATTGGAAGTATCAACTAATGTTTAGAGGCTAGTTTTAGTTCTTATAGGCCAACACAACTATTTCTGGTTTTAGCTAGTAATATACTGCATGAATGGAACTGCAGTGATATGATTAAAGCTCAATAAGCCAGACATTTTGCATAGGTTTGAAGCAAGCCCTTGGTGATACAAAAGGTATTCTCTATAATTTGAATCCTAATCTTCTAACATCTGTTGACAAAAGCTCAGATTATCAAATGCTTCCTCCCAAAATGACCACATTAACCTAGCAGGGTAATTCAAAACTACCACCTACTTTAGATTTTTGCCTGCACAATGCCAATGGGAATGGCTTGGACTTCTTTCTTCTGCCTGTCTCCAAAACAAAGGCTGATCTGATCCAAGTCCAACTCTTGGCAGACAGAGGTAATCCAAACCAGTGATGACATGACTTAAATTTAAGGAGGCAAACAAATTTAAATAGCACACTGGGATTTTAAAAAATAAGCCTCCAGCTACCAACCTCAGTGTATCTGCTGTCAAAGACTTTAAAAACTGCTCTCAGCAGACCATTCCTGGAAAAGGGGAGGCATGTCTTCCACTTCCCCCTCCCCTTTTTGTTCCACTTTATAAAATCAACTCCAAGAGATCAGTCACAATAGCCAAGTGTGAAATGTTTGTCTTGCATTTAGAACTGGGGGGGGGGGGGACCCACAGGAAATTACAACAACACGGAAAAGCTGAGCTCAGACTACCTAAAGCAAACTGTCAAAATATTTTAACAATTTAATCATAAATGTTTTCTTTGAGTCCAAATAGTGTTTATATTAAATTCCAGACTAGTCAAAATATGAAGACACACCAATTATTTAGTCAAAACGTTGCAACACACAAAACTACACTCTCTTCCGACTGACAGGCATTTATTTGATTGCTTAAAAAGAAATATCACAAAGGTTGTTTGATTGGACAATCAATTGTAGTACTTCACACAATTGGTTTCCCCTATGGTATAAATAAGATGAGGCTTAACTGTTGCAGCTTGTCTGTTTATAAAAATCAACTGGCAATTTATTCACATTCACACAGATACATTCTTAAAGTTAGGATTTGTGTGTCTCTGAATAAATACGTAACTGACAAGAAAGTACTTTCTACTGATTCTAAAAGGGATGCCACAAGTATACATTAAGGAAAAACGACAGAAAGTAACAAAAATAGAAGTATCTAACCTTCATACTATTTACTTTTGGAATTATGTTATGCAAAGCGTAGAAAAGTATTAAGAAATTGTAAAGAAAACAAAACCTAAACATGAGATGAGAAAAAGAAAATTAGTTAAATTTAGTTTACACCAACACTATTCACAATATTTCCCCACATTTTTCATTCTTCCAGAATGCCCTTGTACCACTTCATCCTCTGCTTTTTTAAACTTCTCATGCCCTTCTTTTGAAGGATCTCATCAACTCCATCCAATCACCAGTTTCAAGTGGGAAGTAATTAAGGCATGAGTGACAGTGACCATGCCCATTTATCACTTCATATGTTGCTCTTTTGCTCTTTTAAATTTACCTCATTTTTATAAGATTAATCAGTTCCATCCCACTATAACTTTTTGGTTCTTTCTGTTCTCTTCACTTGTTCACTCTGCTTCCAGGTATTTGTTTTAGGATTCAGTCCTCATGCATTCTCTCTATATGACCAAATTTATGTCTTTGAAATAGTCACTCGCTTTTCCTTCCTTCCTTCCTTCCTTCCTTCCTTCCTTCCTTCCTTCCTTCCTTCCTTCCTTCCTTCCCTCCCTCCCTCCCTCCCTCCCTCAAATTCATGTACTTTCTGTGGAAGTCAGTTAAATTGGCACTCTTTTTTTGAACTATTACCATCTGGCAGACAGTACAGGATAATAAAAACAAGAATAAATAGGCTGAAAAACAGCTTCTATCCCAGGGCAGTAATTATTTCAAATTCTATTGTACAGTGCAATATTAATGCAATATCGGGTTTTCAATTCAGTTGTATAGAATGTGAAGGATGTGTGTTTGTGTTTTATTATTATAGTTATAATGTACACTGAAGATGGTATTTAATTTTGTTATACAAGGTGCAATGACAATAAAGTAAACTAAACTAATTACTGTTGCTAGTCTTCATTCTCCTGTCAAAGCAACTATCCTGATCATTCATACATTAATTTTCATACCGTACATTGCATCATATAATCTAACATTTTCTGCAAATACTTCAGATTCTCAGCCAACAATTCAGGATTCTCCACATACAGGTAGTACTGTCCATATCCTACAAATCATAAAATACATAAAATATGCTTGGGATGCAATAGCCATAGATGTGTTCTTGGAAATAATGTGTGCCTGCAGCCCAGTGCATTTTTTTTAAACAGCCACATGCATCTTAAAACAATGAAAAGAAGAAAAATAAAGTTGTGGTGGTGAAGGCAGCTGCAAGATGGGGCTAGGAGCGGCTTCTCCCATTTGCCATCTGGTTAATGAGATTTTTTATGAATGGGCCACAGTGACAATGATTTTGCACATGTATAAGCCTCCTCGCGACAGAGTTGTTAAGAATTCCCATGGTATGATTCCAGATTCCAAATGTGTTTCCCAGCCTTCAAAAGCTACTCCTTGAGACAGATTTGACAAAATGGGGAAACTTACAATTATCATTGATTGGGAGAATATCTACAATTAAGATGAATGTATTGCCTATAATTTTATATTTATTCCAGACAATTCCAATCCGACTAGGAAAAGAGTTTTTTGAAGACTTAAATAGAATTGTGTTGAAATATATTTGGCAGGGCAAAAAAGCAAGAATAAAATTAAAACTGTTACAAGATGCAAGAATAAGAGGAGGGTTTACCTTGCCTAACTGGGAGTTGTATTACCAAGCGACAAATTTGATGTGGGTAAAGGAATGGATAACATTATGGAACAATAGACTATTGACCTTAGAAGGGCATGACTTGCTGTTAGGATGGCATGCCTTCCTTTGGTATAAGGGAACTAAAACACAGGGTATTTTAGAAGACATTATATTCGAGAGGCATTCTTTTTGAACTGGGAGAAGATAAAAAGACAATATTATTTAAAAATTCCATTATGGATATCTACCATTGAAGCCTTTTCTTATCCAATAATATATAAAAAAGAACAGTTAGATATAGTGAGATATTGAATGAAAAGGATGAACTTAAATCTATGCAAGCGTTGGAAGAACAAGGTGTAAAAATGAACTGTTTTTCATATTTGCAAATACAATCTAGATTTGATAAAGATGTTAAAACAGAAGGTATTTATGAGAAGTTGACTGATTTAGATAAAGTTTTGATGGGTACTGATGAAAAGGTAATTAAAAACATTATGGACACTTATTACAATTTAAATTGGAGGAGGAACAAGTTAAAGAAATGATTGCTTTTGGATATGGGATTGATTTAGAAAAATGGCAAAAATTGTGGTCACGAAATTATAAAATGACAATGTCAACTGCATATAAAGAAAATCTGTATAAGATGTTTTACAGGTGGCATCTACCCCCGATGAGACTTGCGAGAATGTTTAAGAATAAATCGGATAAATGTTGGAAATGTCATCAGATACCTGGTTCATATTACCATATGTGGTGGACATGCTTGGACGCAAAGAAATATTGGACTAAAATCCACACATGGTTGGAAAAAGTGATAAAACAACATATAGACTTTAAACCAGAGATCTTTTTATTGGGAATTATACTGGAAATATACAACAAAGACTTGAAATATTTGATTGTAAATGAATTAACAGAGGCTAGGATTGTATTTGCTAAGAATTGGAAAAACAACAAAATACCTATGCAGGGGGAAGTTATTAAGAAAATTATGGACTGTGCTGAAATGAGTAAATTGACATTTGAAATTAGAGAACAAGAAGATAAGCAATTTTATATGATATGGGATTTGTTTTATCAATGGTTGGACAAAAGACATGGTAATGCAATAGACTAGATAATTCTGTGATAGAAACTTAATAGATTGATATAAAACATAATATAGACATATATAACCATTGGTTGAAAGCATAACATAAATTTTAAGATAAAATTTGGAATATCTCGTATAAAATGATGGAATAAATAGTTTAGTCATGGATGATTAATAACTGATAAATATACAAGCATATGTTAGTTTGACAATGTGAAAATTGATATAAACTGTGAGTAAATGACTATAAAAGGATAGCACAAAAGATTTGTAACCAACTGACACACTGTACGTATGTAAAATGGAAGATGGTTTTTATGTTTTTATGTCCTGTATGTATATGTTTGCTTAAAAAAAAATTCTTTTATTGAAAAAAAAGCTACTCCTGCAAAAATCTCAGTTCTTTATTGACTCCAGAGATATATTT